TAAACTCTTCTTCACTTCCAAAGATTCATGAGAGACACATTCCCAAAATTTTTGTTTTCTAATTTGAGAGCCTTTTATATACTTGACGCTTTCTCGAATTTTATGAATACAACCATGGACTTCTTTTAAACCATCTTGGACAATCAAGTTGAGGATATGGGTACAACATCTAATATGAAAAAATTCTCCCCTCCCAAGAAGTGCTTCTTTCAAATTAAGTTGTTTTTTCAATAAATCAACAAAAACATCATTTGCGAAGGCATTATCAAGAGTGAAAGAAAACAACTTCTTTTCAAATTTTCAATCAACTAACAACTTATAGATCTTCTTACAAATGGCAACACCAGAATGAGGAGGTGGCATATAAGAAAAGTTAAGAACCTGATTTTGTAATTTCCACTCATGATCAATGTAGTGTGCTGTGAGACAAATATATCCATCAGTGGCTATTGATGTCCACAAATCGGAAGTCAAGTTAATTCTACCCGGAATCGATTCCAAAGCTTCTTTTAGCCTATTTTTCTCTCTTCCATAGATTTTAAGAACATCGGCTTTAACCGTATTTCTTGATATGTGTTTTAGATCCTCACAAAGATATGAGAAGATTGCTCGAATACCTTCATACTCAACAGATTGAAATGGCAAATCGTGCATAATGATGGCCGAGACTAAGAGCTCCCTAAACTTATCCGGGTCAAAATTAAATCTTGAGGAACTCATTATAGAATCTTTTGAGTTAGATAGACCCTCAATATCCTCTCCAGTAGCTTTCTTACAAATTTTCATGTGTCTTAACATGTTCTTTGTCCCATGGTTACCTTCGGCGATGTATTTGACTCCACACTTCTTACATACTGAATATTGTTTCCCACCTAGCTCTTGAACAAGGTCAATTATTTTCCAAGCTTTGGACGTTAATTTTCTTTTTCGACTTCCAACAATTATCGCTTTTGATTTTTTCTGAACAGGACTAGACATGTCTTCTAATTCTTCATTAGATGAATCTGCTTCTACATTATCAGCTATAGAATCATGGGTAGAATTAGACTCCATTAACTATGATGAAAATTACATAACTGCATAAGATTAATAAAATTAAACAAAATACAACAGATAACACAAATTAACTGATTTTAAACAAAATTAACATTTGAGTATGAAGAAACTTAAGTCCGCATATAGTTCAGCAAAGCAACACTTAAAAAATATTCAACTCTCAAAGAATCAGACGTCATTAACATTTCCTTTATCTACATATTCAGAGACGAAGAAAAACACATATTGTTTTGTGTGTGTGTGTATGTATGTAATATGTATGCATGCATATATGTATATGTATATGTATTACGAGACATAATTAAGACAATAAGAAAATAATAAGAAATAAGCCTTCAGGATTAAAAAAAGGACTTTTTTCTATTCAACGAGAAGCTCTCCTTCATTTCTAAGAATAACACTAATAAAGATGGAGGTTGTAATCGGTGTCTTTGTAGTTTTGTAAGGGTTCAGAGGACAATGATCAGAATACCCAAACCGTCTACCAAGGAGTTGGTTCTAACCCGATACTTTAAAAGACTCTAACATGATTATAAATCCCTCTTTCATGATTATACATTCTCCTAAAACAACCGTTTATCTCAAATGGGTATCACTTGACTACCGTACAATAGTACAATTCTATTTGGTACCATTGAAAGACAAGTTAATTGCTATTTTTGAATTAATACTTTAAACTTTTTGGCAAGCGAATCCAGATGCATCCACAAATTACTTCTTAGCAAACACTGAGATCATAAAAACTCAATCTCAACAAGGCTCGAGTTCGATTGAGAGTTCTAACAATAAGTGATCTGTAATTTCAACAAACCCCCAAAATTGAAAGAAGACAGGATGAAAAAACCCCCAAAATTGATAAAACGCAAGATCAAAAAGTCCTAGCTAAGAGTGTGTTGGCCTTCTTGTTTTGATGATGTTTAACAAACAATTTATTACTAATGTTGTTTGTCTAGTGTTTGTGCATTCCTATGTTTTATAGACAAACAACGTAGTTGGAGGATGGATGGAATAGAGCTTCAACGATCATATCCAAAGGAGGTTGGCGGAATGTCGGTGAAGCCTTGCTATTCAAAGTTCAAGATCCAAGTTCAAGCTTCATCCGGTACCAAGTTGAGCTACAATGAAGATCAAGATAAAGCTTGGGTAATCTAATTTAGATTTTATATTATGTGTGTTAAGTACCTTAAGCTCAATATCATACACACACACGTATTTGATTTCTATGTATATATATAGTTATATATATACATGCATGGTTTTGGGTTTTTATGTTTTGAACACTTTTACAAAATAATGAGATTTCATAATTGGGAAATGAAAATTGGAAAATTCTTTTTGTAACATGTTCAAAATATCATTTGCAAACATTTCTCAAAGTTTCATCAAGTTTGGAATTGATTTGTTATGTTTAAAGGAATTTACAAATTCACGTTTTCGTTCGTGCACATGTTCGTGCATGTTTTACAAAACTGATGAGTTTTTACAAATGAGAAGTGATATTTGAAAAATTCTTTCTCTGACATGTTTATATACATGTTTAGAAACTTTCCTCCAGTTTTTACTATTTTTGGAGTTGATTTACTGTGCCTACTTGATTTTACAAAATCGTGTATCACAGCAGATTTTCAGAAACTGTATTTTTGTGTTCAAACATTTATTTCTCTCAACTGGGAAATGATTTTTCAGAAATTCTTTCTCTGACATGTTAATCTACATGTCTAGAACATTCCCACAAAATTTCATAATTTTTGGAGTTCATTTACTATTTTAAATTGATTTTACAAAGTAGCTGCGCATTGCTACAGTAATCCGGTCGACCGAAATTTTGGTCGGTCGACCGAAATTTCCTCCGGTCGACCGGTACGGTCGACCGACGCTGTTTCTGCTCGATTCCCAGGTTGGGATCTTCATCGCGGTCGACCGACGATATTTCCGGTCGACCGACTATGTGACCGTTGCTTTCTAACGGCTCTTTTCTGAGCCGATTTTCTCTGGGTCTTTTTGTCCTTTTCTTGGGTAGTTTTTGGCTGAGTTGTGAGAGGGTATAAATACCCATTGTCTTCAACTCTCAAGCTCTCCAAGAGATTATTTTAAAAAATAGTTTAACAAGGGTTTAAACTTGTTTAAAAATGCCCAAAATACCCTTCGCAGCATGTGTTCGTCGCCCTCTCACGTCGGAAACATGGCGTTTCGACTGTAGGCATTAAATGATGATTAGAATGCCTTTTTTTTGGGGGGGGGTCCCATTTTCCTCTAAAATTATCACCAGATATATTCCCCTTCCAGCCGTAATAAAATCACTGAGTTCCTCCCCATTCTATTACCCTAACTAATCTGTTCCTTCTACTTATAATTCTCCTCAATAAAAACCTCTTCGATTCTTCAACTACTCCCTATAATAACATGGCGGATGGATCTCTTCTATGTGTGGTAACGAAAGCAAAAAGCAACAAAAATGGTGACGGTGTATTCGTCGTTATCAAAGAGAATACAGAAATAATCAGCTTGAAATATCAAGTGTCGGAAAGGCTTAAAATACGAATGCAATCTCTTTCACTGAAGTTCATATGCTAAAGGGAAAAGAAATTCAGTATTTCAATTGACAATGACAATGACTTAAATTTGATGTTCGAGTATTGTCGACGTAATGGATTTACAGACGCGAATTTGTATGCTACCTCCGCAGGGGAATCCTCAACTTCGCAGAACACACAGACTACATTGGAAAATGTGTAGGAATCACACTCCAGATTTCCTTATGAGTTCACTGATAGGTTTTGCCATTAGTTGTTAACTTTATGCATTGGTTGCTTAGGTAATGAGTTGGTTGTCAAGGTTAGGTTAAGGACTGGTTGTTAAGGTTATTTGTTCGCTGTTACGTATACTAGTTGGTTGCTACGATAAGGTGTTTGATGTTAAGTATATGCGTTTGTTGTTAAAGTCACGAGTCTGTCCTTAAGTATAAGGGTTAGTTGTGTTTGATGTTAAGTATATGCGTTTGTTGTTAAAGTCACGAGTCTGTCCTTAAGTATAAGGGTTAGTTGTTAAGGATATGTGTTGGCTGTTACGTTTATGAGTTCATTGTTAAGTTTATCAGTTCGTTGCTGAGGCTATGTATTTTTATTACTACTTTAGGACAATACCGACAAAAAATTCACGGTGCAAATACCATGTTCACCCAAACCTTTAATGATGAGCGTATTCCTAATGATAACCCCACCGGCGACTCGATCATGCTGCTGGAAGACATGCTTAACAACCAAACAAAGATCCCAACTGAGTGGCACACCTCTATATGTGAAGTTGGTGAGAAATTTGATAGTGCTGCTGAAGTTAGATTAGCACTTTAATATTATTCAATTGCTAAACGGTTCGAGTATGATTTTTACCACAATGAACAAAGGCGCATAAGAGTCTATTGCCGATTCAAGCACACACATGGTTGCCCTTGGATGTTGTTTGCTTCCCCGCTTAGAAATTCATTTATCATGTTCATAAAGAATTTTAAATCTACCCACACCTCCGGTCAACATGGAGCAAATGCTAGCAACTCAAGGGCATCAAGGAAGTTCATTGCTAGCTAAATACAAACTGTTTTGAAGGTTAGGCCAGATCTTCGTACAGTTGATATCAAGAACGACATGCTCTCTAATTTTGGCATCAAGATTAACTATAGTAAAGCATGATGAGGCAAGGAGACAGCTCAACAGGACCTGTTCGGTGACGATGATGAGGCTTACGATTCACTGAGATGGGACGTTCTTTTTTATTCTGCTGAAATCACTCTTACGTTTTGGTTGCTAACTATACGTATTAGTTGTTAAAGTTATTGGTTTGTCGTTAAGTATACGTGTTGGTTGTTAAGTTTAAAGATCAGTTGTTATGGTTATGAATCCGTTGCTAAATTTACTGCTTTGTTGTTATATTCATACAGGTATAAATCCATGGTGCATGTAACTAATCCAGGGAGTCGGGTTGTTATTGATGCTGATGACGGGAGGTTCAGGCGATTGTTCATTAGTTATAATGCTTGTATTGAAGGGTTCATTGCTGGGTGCAGGCCTTTATTATTTTTGGATGGAACATTTATTAAAGATCGCTACAGAGGCATACTACCTAGTGCCACTGGGTATGACGACAACCAGGGAATATTTTCCCTTGCTTATTATGTATGCGACCAAGAGAATGAGGTTAACTAGAAATGGTTCTTATAAGGATTGTGGACGTTACTGTATGATAGGAAAAATCCTTACCAACCTTCACATCGACTGGTAATGATTTCTGACGTCGACAAGGGTATTAGGGCAACAGTCGAGGAATTTTTTCTAGATGCATTCCATTCAAGGTGTGTTCTGCATCTAGTCGAGAATTACAAAAAGAAGATGAAGGATTTTGGGCACAAGGCAAATATCGCGACTACGTTGGGCGAGCTGTTACAATCTGCGGCTTATAAGTTCACAATATCTGAATGGGATAATGACATGAAAGAATTGGCAGCGATCGATCACAGGGCTTACGTCACTGTAATGGAATACTCCCCGGAGAGATGGGCAAACGCGCATTTTCCTGGTATAAGGTAAATTTTGTTATAACACCGTTATAGTTGTTTAGGTTAGATTTAGCCTACAGTTTTCTATTAAGGTTAGATTTTTATTGTTATGATTAGAATTATTCTGCTTGGTTTTTGTTGTTAAGTTTAGAATTTTGTAGTTAAGGTTAGGACTTTAATGTTTAGGTTATGATTTTATTGTTAATGTTAGTGTTTTGTTATTAAGGTATGGCCATGTTACATCAAACGTTGCTGAGTCCTTCAACAGCTGGATAAGAAAGGCACATTTGTTACAAATCTTACCTTTGGTTGAGACCATACGAAAGCAAATATAGGAGCGTATGCATGAAAGGAGGCTAGTGGGTCAGAAATGGTCTGGATATTTATGCCCGGAAGCAAAGATGATGTTGTGCGATAATATTCAGCTTGGTAGCTGCTTGGCGATTAAACATTCGACGGAAGATATTGTGGAGGTCGAGTCCAATAAAACTTGCCGCGTAGATTCAGGTCCTGGGACATCACCCGCATTCCTTACAAACATGCGTACGCTGCAATTATATGGATGAGACGAGAAGATTATCAATATTATGATTGGTACATGACTGTTAACGCATTCAAAGCAAGTTATGTACCGATCATCTTTCTCATCCTAGATTACGAGAAGCGTTTTGTACCGCCAGAAGAGCGAGTGTTAAAGCCTCCTCTCGCCAAAAAAAGACATGGCAAACCATGCACTAGATGAATAAACAACAGGTCGCGAAACACCCGTCCTTTTAAGTTCTCTCGATGTAATGTGGAGGGTCACAATCGTGTAACTTGTAACAAGCCTATATAGTTTAGCGTTTTATTATCATGTATATGGATTTGTTATCCTGTATATCATTACAAGTGATAAGGTCATGGCTTGGCTGATAAGGTTACTATTTAGTTGTTAAGTTTATGACTTGTTTGTGGAAGTTTTGACTTGGTTATCAAGTTTATCGATTAAATGTTAAGTTTACTGTTATCCACTTGCACTTGGTTGTCAGTGTTTAGCATTTTTATTATTAAGTTTATGGAGTGGTTGATAAGAATACTGTTTGGCTATCATGTTTATAGAAGTTTGTCAAGTATATCGTCAAAATTGTTAAGTTTATGACTTGGTTGTTAAGGTTATTACTTAGTTGTCAAGTTTATCATTTTAATATTAAGGTTACTATTATTCACTTGCACTTGGCTGTCAAGGTTACCGAGATATTTTTGATTTGACTGCATTCAATGTATTTTATAGTTCCTAAGGCAGTAGAGTTATCTCACCATCCATCGGCTTGTTCCAATACAGAACCAGCCTATAACCTTTCTCCTCACATTTACATCTTCTCTAGCTTCCCATCATCGCCACTCTATTTATCCTCACTCTTTTCTCAATCATTCTAAACTCTACCCTCTCCAATCTCATAAACCATAAGATCATGGCTAGCCCTTACACTGATGAAGACTATTTTCAATATTTATGGGTTCTGACCATTTGATAGTTGTAGGGTGAGAATTTGATTTCCCGGAAACAGGGAGTTTCGTTTGTATTGATAAGAAAGCTTATTACAAACTAATAATCAAATGTTCACAACAGAAGCAGAGGGAATGCCCTCTTTGTTTTGTGTGGGGACTTTAGGTGGCTACATGATGCTTCGCTCGATGCTTGTGTCGAGTCTGCTTCCCTTGGACCGTTCGATCGAGGTTGCTAGAGAGCTTCAGTACACAGTAGAAGCTCGAGTCGAAAGAGTTCGGGTCTGCTTAGTTCTTAGAACCAGGCAGTGGTGCTGTAATGCAAGGATTTGCGAACAGCTTGGTCTCAACTGTTTTTCTCCAAGTTTTTCGACCTCCCCTCCAGTTTGCTGGAAGAGGCTTTTAAATGGAAGAAGGACAGCTGGACTGCTCCTGGAATTATGGGATGTGACCATGCTCGTTCGGAGATATCCTGCTGCTCATTCGTACCACCAGTGGTCATTCGAAGAGCTGTGCCCTGCATCACGTCACGTAGGAGTGGGAAAGCCCTTCCTCGTTTGCGTGACAATGGCTGTCGGTCGCTTGCGTGGATCTGACCAACCACCGAGCGTCGGCGGCTCTCGCCCTTTTGCTTGGACAACTGAGGTGAGTCGCATTTATGAGAGTGCAGGCTGCTTTGACATCTGTCTGCTCTCTTGTACTATGGGTGGCTATTCGGCGGGCCTGGTGCACCGTACCTTCTCTCTTCAGGTCAAGAGAGGCGGGGAAGCATGCTCCTAGCACTCGAGTATGTTTGGACAGCTCGCCGAATGCTGGCGGATTCGTCTCCTAACTCAGTCAGCCAAGGTGAGATGCATTTATGAATGCTCAGGTCGACTCGACACCTGTCCAGTCCTTCGCACTGTGAACGGCCGTTCGACGGCCTTAGGGTACTGTGCCCTCTCCCTTCGGGTCGAGAGAGGTGGGAAAGCCCATCTCAGCACGTGGGGTAGCGGGTATCTGGCCGTATTGGCGGCCCTGGGTTTTGCGGGCGGATTCGACTTCGGACTCGAGCAGGCGAGTTATGTAAAAGGCGAAATTCTGCTATCCCTAGTTGATTCTGGCTCGTGCAGGCGAGTTGATCATCCAGGCGAATTTCTTGCTGTTCACAGAGGTATTTTTTACCGTCTACAAGACCCCCTTCAAAGTTTCCAGACCTAAACCGGCTTGCGTGTGGTCTGGAATACTTTGAATAAAGAAGCTCTTGGCGAAACAAGTGCAATTGACTTCCTTTAGGATTTTTAGCAAACCCTCAGCTGTCAACGGGTTTGATATGCCTTTACCGATTACCGTTTGAATCGGGCTAGTCATACTATTCCCCTCAGTATGATGAGTTGTCGAGCAGTTTCTCTTAGACTTGATGCTAAGATTTCTACTCTAACCCTCAGCCATTTGAGGCATGGGTTTAAACGAGGCCTGCTCGTTGGCGATTCAAGGCTTTAGATAAGTCACTTGTCTCAGAGGCGAATAAGCCGTTCAGGCGAAATTAGGTTGTGGAGGCGAGATTCCGCTTGACTTGCGGATTTGGAACGAGTTTCCGCAGGTGAGACCTTTTCCTTAGGCGAAACTAGGCTCAGCGTGAGCGAGCCACGCGTCCGTTGGTGGGCTTCGTGCTTTCCAACCAAGGTGGCGTGGTCCCGTCACGTCGCGCTCATGGTGACTCGCCATCCTGACGTGAGCTTCGTGCGTATCGCCTGCATCGTGACCGTGGATTCCGAGCCTCTCTGTTGGACACAACCGTTGATTTCGGCTCGGATCCTGGGACTTTGGTCGGCCTGCTTCGCGTTTCGACGGTTCTTTCGAAATGTTGAGGTCAATCGGGGCCGTTGATTCCGATCGTGGTCACGTCTCTCATCTGCCAGTGTTCCGATCGTGGCCACGTCGGCAATTCCCCCTTTAAATAGGCCGTTCCTTTCCTTTGAGGGTTACCGTGTTTAAAAAATCTTGAAAACTTCTGAGAAGAAAGAGTTCCCGCTTAATCCCGTCAATGGCGCCGAAATCTAAGAAGTGTGTTGCGAAGAAAGGAGGTCCCGGACGCTATTCTGACCGCCTCGCCGCCGGAGCCCCCGTCAGCATACCTGAGACGCATTTGGGTAAGTCAAGGGGTTCGTCTTGCGTAGGTTACAGACGTCGGGTTGGGAGGATGAGGGTCTCTTGTCCTCCCTGGATTCAGTCATCGTTTGGCAGTTTCCCTGATTTGGGGCAAAGTCGCCCCTTTTTGGGTGGATTTTGTATGTAGAGGACGACTTCTATTCCTACAGGCGAAATTGGTTTTCATCAGGTGAAGTCGAACTCGTTTCTTGACAGGCGAGTTCGACTTTACTCTGGTAAAGGCGATTGTGGCCTATGCAGGCGGATCTCGTTATGTCGGGCGAATTTTGCCCTGAGATAGGCGGATCTGTATCCGCCTCCTGATTTCTTTTGATTTTGTTTTACAGCGACCTTTTCCGACAAAGCTCTCCCGAAGGGCGTGGCCGTCGGTCTTGCTGGAGGTTCAGGTCATACAGTGCCCTCTCGATTTCCTTCCTTGGGTCCGGTGCCTGTGTTTTCCCCTGATAAACCGGAAGGCTCGATAAAGAGAGTCACCGATGGGCATCATCTAACACTACGCGAACTGACGACCGACGCGACGCTGACAGATGATGCCCGGACGGAGCTGTTGAAGCCTCAGTTCTTCTTCGGTGATTCTATGACTGATCCTTCCGTTCTGCTACTCAAGGAGAACGGGTGGTTCCGCACAGTGGAAGGGACTCACTATTACCTCCCCAGCATGCCGAGGGGGTTCTCGATTGTCAAGCTACGGTCTCTCGCAGTTCCCCGAGTGATGAACTGGGATTTGACTCCAGCTCAGGACGGGGTCACTTGTGGCGTCTTTACAGGCTCTACGTCTGGGTATGGAGTGGAGGGTTCTTGTAGGCGCGTGACGGGTCTGCGCCCTGGCCTACTATCCAACGAGTCGCCGGCGGGAGAGACGACGGCGGTCGCAGAGACGTTCCGCCATCGCTTCTTCCGAGTTGGCAGTAGATTTCCCCCAAAAGACTTTAGAGCCCCAGGGTGGGTATATTCTGCGCCCGGCAGCGACACCTGGTGGTCCAAGATCACTGACTACGTCTTGGCTGAGAATTCTGACCTTGAGAATTCGGAACTGTATGTTGCTATTCAGGCCACTCGCCATGGTTTGAGGATTAATGCTTCTCAGTTCCACAGCATTTTGGAACTGTATTGTGCGGAAAGTGGCACATTCATCACCCCCAACGGCGAACTCGGCATAACCCACCATGAGATGTATGACGTGTCGGGGCTGCCTCTGGGAGACTTTCCCTATGAAGAGTACGTCCCTGGCCAAGAAGAGATCGACCGGCTTTCCGACTGTTCCCCATTGGTAGTGGAGACTCTGTGGGAGTTGCTCTGCCATTACCACATCTGCCTCATATTTTAGGGGCTGCGGATCACAAGGGAAAGAAGAAGAGGACTCCGGGGATCAGCCACAAGAATTGGGCTAACTATCTGTTCCCGGGGCACGATGTCAAAGGGCAGCCTGCTCTTCCGTTAGGCGAGTATGACCAGGCTGAGGTGGAAAGGAGGATGGCCGAAGAGGAAGCCACAGTAGTTCTTGAACGTGACGAGGGCGGATTCAAATCCGGAACGGTCCTCCACTCGTTTCACCACCAGGTCAAGTCTCCTATATCTGGGAAGGCCTTGCTTGCAGGGTATCTCATGTTGTGACTCAAGAGGTGCATAATCCCTGCTCACTCTTTTGAGGCTATTCCCGTAGAAGTCGTGTATCCTGCGGTTTGTTTAGCCCACGGGA